TGGAGGAGTGGTGCCTCTGTTCCTAAGACGATCGGAAAATGTGTTTTCAGATGGTCTTAGCCGACCCCTGTGAAAGGTCGTTTGACCCCCAAAGGGGTTGCGACCCACAGGTTGAGAACTACTGTTCTAGATCATGTAGCATCATTTTTTACAGATATTCCAAACATGGATGGAAGTAAACCTGTACATTTTTCACCCTTTCCATCCTGCCACAGTTCTGTAAGAGCCAGATTTCTCGAAGACTTTTTTTTTGTACATGTCTTGTTTCTCATAAAGCCCTATCCTGCTTCTTTTCATACTGTGAAACTCCACTTAAAGTTATTGGGTCAGTTTTTCAACAGGGTAATAATAGACCAGAGTTGTCCATGAAGAATGACTCCTGGCTCTCCTTGTTTGGAGACATTTCAGAAGTCCATGGTATTGAATGTCAATACAGCAACCCGGAAAACCATCTGAGGTAAGCAGTGTGTGTCAGTGACTCAGTCTAGTTTTAAGGTGTCAGGACATTAGAGGGTTTGCTTGTGACACTGGCTTTAAAATGGTTTGTCCACCTAATTTTTCACAACACAAAATTCCCATAAATCTAAATCAGATAATTATTTGAACCATACTTTATTTGTACATTACCATCATAAAACTCCCGTGATAGTAATGATAGGCATCCTGTGTGACATGATTCAGCCTGTGCATCAAAGTGAGACAATGCATGACAGAAAACATACATTTACTCTGTGTGGTAATTGTGAAATGGTAAATTGAATTGTAATGCCATGCTGCCTTTTTTTAAACAGCATATATACAGTTGACGATCTCCATGAGTGTGAGGAAGGTAGAATAAAGAAGAAGAGAGAAGAAAATCAGTGTGAGGAAACCTTCAGGTGGATTGGAAATCTTTCTAACCTTAGAAGAACTCCTGTTAAACTAAATTCTTCTGAGTGCCTGGAGAGTAATAGAGCTTTCGTGGATTATCCATCATTTGAGCATCGCATTGGATCTCGTACTGGGTACAAACCTTACCATCGTGATGAAAGTGGGGAAGACTGCCATTGTCCCTCTTACCTAAAACTGTGTATGGGAGAGAAGCTTTGTAAATTTAAGGATTATGGAAAACCTTGTAGTTATTCCTTACCCCACACTAAACAGTTAAGGACTGCCAGTGGAAAGAAGCCATATGAATGTAAGGAATGTGGGATGGCGTTTAGTCGGTCCTCCCACCTCACTAGCCATCTAAGAATGCACAGTGGAGAGAGGCCTTATGAATGTAAGGACTGTGGGAAAGCTTTTAGTTCTTCCTCCGCCCTCACTACACATGTAAGGATTCACACTGGAGAAAGGCCTTTTGAATGTGTGGAGTGTGGGAAAGCCTTTAGTGATTGCTCATCCATCAGTAGACATAGAAGAATTCACAGTGGAGAGAGGCCTTATGAATGTCAGGAGTGTGGGAAAGCCTTTAGTCGGTCCTCACACCTCACTAGCCATCTAAGAATGCACAGTGGAGAGAGGCCTTATGAATGTAAAGAATGTGGAAAAGCCTTTAGTTCTTCCTCTGCCCTCACTACCCATGTAAGAATTCACACAGGAGAAAAGCCTTATGAATGTGTAGAGTGTGGGAAGTCCTTTAGTGATTGCTCATCCCTCAGCAGACATAGAAGAATTCACAGTGGAGAGAGGCCTTATGAATGTCAGGAGTGTGGGAAAGCTTTTAAGTGCTCCTCAACCCTCTGTAAACATGTCAGAACTCACAATGGAGATAGGCACTGTGATAATAAGGAATATGGGAAAACCTTTAGTTGGGCCCCATCCCCCACAGAAATATAAAGAATGTTTGGGAGCCTCAGTCCTCATCTCTCTATCCCTATTTGAAGTATTTCCAGTTCCTATCTGTACCAGTGTACATCCTCTGGTCTAGCCAGACTTGCAAGGTTGAATTCGTGTCATGATAGTGGGGGCAGGGAAACCTTTAGGAACTATAGGAAAGTTGTATTTTTCATCGTTATTACATCACACCCTGACTGGCTCGTCTTGGGGAGGCACAACTTAACATGATTTTTTAATTTATATCTATTCTCATGCCTTCTGTGTTTAGGGAAAAAGACCTCTCTAATTCCTCCTTATATGATCTTTATGTGCTTGCATTCTTTGTAACACTTTATTTTGCTTTCATATTGAAACCCTACTTATGTCACCATCAAACCCAGGTGCTGCAGAATTCTTTCTTAGTATAATGATGTGTCAGTGTCTGTTCAGACAGTGTCCAACCACATATTCATCTGTGGTTCCATAGAGTTTCATTGTGTATGTGTTTAAAGGGAAAGTAGCTCTCTTTTTGTTTATTTTTCCCCCTGATATGTGAAAAGACCAAACCTAGACTCTTGTAGCATGGGTGGAATTTCGGCAGGTGAAGCAGGGGACATGGTGGCTGCTTCTGCTGTCAGGGAAGTAGAACATCGGATGGAGCAGCATGTCATGTCCTCCATGTCCTCCTTGAACTCTTCCCCTGCACCCACTGCTGCAGGTCTTCCAGCCTTTGGCAGCTGTGGCAGCAGCTATGATGAGGTAGACTAGAAGTGGGCACCTGTGTGGTTTGAATATGGTATTTGCACCCGGTCTAGATCAGTGGTTCTCAATCTTCCTAATGCTGCAACCCTTT